ACCGTCGTCGCTGCCACTGTGCTCGCGACCGGCCGGGAAGACGCAACCCCTAGTAAGGAAGGTCGCGCCGCCGCCTACCTGCTTCCTTCGCTGCTCGTTGCGACCCACTATAGACTGAGTCTCCACTCCTCTTGCATGGGAGGTGGGAAGATTCCCAGTCCCGCTAGTCCCTAGCTGCTGTCAAACAAACGCGTGTTAGTCACACTAAAAAACTCAGCTATGAGAACAGGAGGGAATATGAATGCATACCTAGACGACAGCGGCAGAGCCCTAAAGCCCCGACCGGCTGACAATGAGCCAACCGGACGAGGACCACTCACGGGTCGCAACCCGTGCCCCCTCGCATCGGCTGAGGGAGGGGCCGACCCGATCGGTCCCTGATCGACCCACAAATGGCCATGGTCGCCAGCTTGTGGCGAAACCACCGGAACAACTGGTAGGGCATCCCCCCGTTGGGGGTCACACACACGCGCTGACCCCGAATATGCAGGGGAAGACCGACCGGCATGCCCCACAACACTCGGAGCAGGGGGTTGCAGAGCCAACGACGCCTCCGAAGGGCGCGACGACCACGCCCGCTTCGCCTCTTGTTCGACGACGGTGTCTTCACTTGCGGCACACTTCCTTGACTCAGGAACATCGCCGCGTTTCTTCGTTTCACGCTCGTCGCCACTAGATGTGGCCGTAGGCTCACGGTGCTCCACCGAGGTCACAACAGCGCCCCTGTCTCCTTCATCTTTGGAGGCACTCATGTCGCCACCCGTCTCTGTGGGCTCCTCTGACTTGAGCTCTACCTCCACGTTGCTCTGGCTCTCACCCCCCGGACCTGTCGGCTGATCTCCTTCTCCTTCTCGAACCTCCTCTGGGCCTTCTCGGCTTTCTTCTTCTTCGCAAGTGTCGCCTCCCTCTAGGCAGCTTGTCGAGCTGTGCCCTCTGGCCCCCTCGGAAGATGTGGCTAGGATTTATAGCCCGAGAGTCCCTTCGAAATAGACAAACTCAAAATCAATCAAAACATCAAAACAAGGAGGATAAGATCATGGGAAAAGGCGGCATACTAGATTGGACAGCTTCGCGGCGTGAAGAGGTCCGGGCATCCCTTCAAGGGAGTCTTTATCCCTCAGTTGCAACACCTGATCGAGTCGACTCCAGACTTCATCCTTTGGCAACTCCTTCGGCAACGCACGGTCAGGATCCATCGGGCCAGAGTACTCCCACATCGGCCGCCTTCTCTCTGCCAATGGGGCGACCTGACGGTGGAAGAAGGTATGGAAGACCCGCAACCCATCGAGGCCATGCCGCACAAGCCTTTGGAGCTCCGCCTTGATAACCTCCAGCTTGTTCTACTGACCGGCGGGACCCCATGACCAGCTTTCCCTCCTCTCCGGCCTTCTTTTTGTGAACGATAGGAATGACACTTTCGCTGGGTTCCTGATGTAGAACCACTCACCGTGCCACCACCGGTTGGAGTCACAGGGGGAGTATGCATGATAGGGGACCGATGGCTTCAGTTTCTTCTACAAGGCGAATCCCCCAACCGGCGTGATTCTGGGGGGCTTCCCCTCGGACAGGGCTCGCTCGCTGAAAATCCGCCCTAAGAGGTCCACGTGTGGCTCCATCACAAGGAAGGCCTCGCAAACGGCGATGAAGCCGGTGATGTGCAGCACCCTAGTCGGGTTGAGGTGCTGCAGCTCTAAGCCCCACTCGTTGAGGAGCCCACGTAGGAACTAGTGTGCGAGATACCAAAGCCCACGTTCGTGGAAGGCAAGGAAGGAGACGACCTTGTCGGCCCGAGGTTGTGGAACATTTTCCCCGGCGCAGGAGCCCTCCAATGCTCAACCTCCTTCGACGGGAGCAGCCCCTTCTCGGCGAAGGCGGCCAGCACCTCCTCATCCACGTTGAAAGGCCTCTAGTTCGACATCATACCTTGGCTTCATGAATAGATCTGTGAGTTTTCTCCCTCGCTCTATCCTCCTCTCTCCTAGCAACCGTAGTGGCACACGAACAGATTTGGCAAAAGGGAGGAAGGAGGAACGGCGACGGTTGAAGGAAGGCGAAAGAACGGGAAGGAAAACCTCTCCCTTCCCCCTATTTAATGCGGAAAAGCGTACGACGGGACGTGGCCCTGACTGATGGGACACACCCTGCCCGGCGAAACATTGCCCGATTAGTGGGACGTGGCCTCGGCAGGGCCCACCACTACCGCAACCCGAGCGCGGGAAATAAGGCGCAACTCCACGCAAACGATCCTCTGCCTTCCCAGGAAGGATTTAGAAGGGCCCACCAACAGAATATCCATTGAGGAGAGACCAATGGGTCACCCGAGTCGATCAGACGGCTTGGGCGGCTGCCGAGAGACAGGTAAGGAGCAGTGGGATGCCTCATGTAGGTTATATCGACCCCATCACGAACGATGGATATGGATCCCATTCGAACATATCCGATAGGAGCTCCCCAGACCCGTCACTCGAGCCATCAAGGTAACTTTACCAAACCCCTTTTTTATTTTCTAGTGCATGATCATTCATTCATCCATTCTCATGCATGCATCCATACATTCATCCCATATATCCAAGCATTGCATATGCAATTATTGCATCACAACGCTTCGTGTTGCGTCACGAAGCGGTAGTCGCCTCATTCGATATGAGCGACGACCGATCGGGGTTCGAAGGCCGGCCTGCGAAGGGCTCGAGGCCGCCTCACGTCAAATAGAGCCAGGGGAGAAAACACAGATGAGTCCAAGCGGCCCTCGCCTAATCTGCTTAGGAGCAAACAGGGTCATCTCAACCTTCTAGTTTGATCCTAAGCTCGAGCCATGCCCACAGAATCTCCATCGAGGGGAGGCCAGTGGGGCACCTGAGCTGGTCTTCGGAACGGCTCAAGCATCTGTCGGGAGGCGGGTTAAGGAGCAGTGAAATGCCACATGAGGGCTATGCTGACCCCGTTACGAACGACGGACCCAGATTCCACTTGGACGTACCTGTTATTGAGCTCACCGAGCATGTCACTCGAGCCGTTGAGGCAAGCGACGTTAGCTCAACCCCTCCAGTTGCGGAAACCGCTGATGGGGTAACGCATGAAACTAGCCCGACCCCTCAGTCGTGCCCGACGCTTGGGTTGGCGCTCCGTCTCGCCCGACCCCTCGGTTGCGCTCGACGCTTGGGTTGGCGCTCCGTCTCGCCCGACCCCTCGGCCACGCCCGACGCTTGGGTCGACGCCCAACATTTGGGTTGGCGCTTCGTCTCGCCCGACCCCTCGGCCACGCCCGACGTTTGGGTCGACGTCCGACACTTGGGTTGGCACTCCGTCTCGCCCGACGGCGACCCACGATCTTACACCCACCAGGTGCGCTCGAAAAAAGAGTATAAACAGCCCCTTTACGACTTCACAGAAATCCCAAAAGGGCTCGGGGGCTCCTGTCGGGTTCATAAACCCGGGGTCCCCAATGGGCCCGCTTCTCAGCAAAAGCTTGGCCCAGTAAGCGGTGTAGCGACAACGCGTGCCTCCTGGGCCGGCCCAGATACCTAAATAATAGGCCGGAGGAACGATCCGGTCTCCGACCAGAAGGCCTGGCCAAGGTGAGGACACAGTCCGACTCTGACCTCCTATTCCGTCCGGGAATACGTCGGACCTCTGTTTGCAGCTCATCCCCGACCGACACGGTAGGGGTCGACTGGGAACGACCGATCGGGGACGCCCGCTCGGTGATGGCACGGAGATCAGGCGAACGGATAAGGTAAGGCGCTCAAAGTCAAACCGCAATACCGAGGACCGTACCCTGCCATACCCTGCGCACCTGCAGGATGATGCCGTCAGGCCATGCCAGATAGGCGCTATGCAACCTTCCAGGCGTGTCTGGACGTAACCAGTGTTGTAGGCGTCGATATTTGTCTAACAGTATTATAGACGCCGGCATTTGCTATACCAGGCGAGTACGGTAAAACCTGCCACATGCATCTGCACATAAACAATATTGTGGACGCCGACAACCGTCTCGTACCCGACAGCGTGGGCAACAAGACTAGGTAGCACACGTATACATTCTCTCTCTTTCTCTGACTTGTAAGAGCCCATCACCTTCGACTATAAAAGGGGATGAGCTCTCTCCTAAAAAGAGATTGATTTTTAGATCAAGTAGCCATAGAACTCTAAAGCTGCACAGAGCATTCGCTCCAATACTTAGTGCACGTTAGAGCCCCTATCACTCTCGGCCCTTCGGTTCAGAGTCCGACCGGGCCTTTAGCACCCCCTTCTTATTCCTAATCGTTTGTAACCCTACAGCAAACTTTGAGTGCCTGGACTCAGGAATAAAGTCACCGACCTACCGAAACTGGACGTATGGCACATTGCCTGAACCAGTATAAATCATGTGTCATTAAGTACAAGGCCACATCCGATCACAACGTCCGATAAAATTATAAATATTTACTTATTGATTATTTTTCACATCGACAGTTACCATAGCTATCTTTTATCTTATGGAATGTGAGGCTCTATGCCGTGGGCCAGGCAGATCAGACCCTTGCTCCGCCTCTGATCCTTCCGTCCATAAATAAAGTAATTCTAGCACGTTATTACTAAACTATAAAATATCTTAAATTAAAAAAATACTTCTTTTTGATGACATTTGTGTCGGATCTCAACATTTCAGAGCAATACCGTCACAGTCCAACTTTCCTTCTCAAAACCCCCGAGACCCAAAGTCCAAACTCCTAACCCCCGGCGCAAGGTCTCTTCGCTCCGACCGCCGGGGCCGATGCGGCGGTACCTACTGCAATGCCCCGCGATCCACGGCCATAGCCTTCCTCAAGACCCTAAACCCTCTCATACGCAGGCACGCCACCCCGATCTCGAACCCCAGGCCGCTCCTCTCCCTCCACACCTTCCTCGCCTCATCCTCCCCCACCACTGCCGCCGCCGCCTCCCCCGCCGCCAGCGCTGTGCACACCCATGTCCCCATCCGGTCCGGCGGCCCGCTGTTCCTCTCGTCGGCCCCATGGATGCTGTCACAGTCGGCGACACCGCTCACAGCCGCGGCTGCCGCCCTTGGCGCCAAGCTCCGCAGGGCCCCGGCCCTCGCTGGCGGCCGCGCGCTGGCCGTCGCGGACGCCGTGAGGTGGGAGCACAGGCGGATCTCCGGGGGTGAAGCGGAGGTTGCTGCATCTTCGGGAACTGTGGGATGTGGAGGTGAGAGGTTTCTGAATGCACCCAATTTGGTGTCGATTGGACGGATGGTGTCAGGGCCGATAATTGGATGGTGAGTGTTCTCATCTGTTTTTCGTGTTAACCTTCAGTTAGAGCTATAACCAGCGTCGTAATAGTTTGACGCAATTGGCAGTTGGTCTGACACCTAGGAGGGTTTAAACTTGAAAACCATAAATAACCATGATCTCTTCATTTCCAGCTTGCCTTTATTCCAGGAACCATCTCACTGTTTAATTGTTTTTATTTAGTTGATGGCATATATGTACCATGATCTTAAAAATCCAGTGAAGTCAATACTCCTGAATGACGTGTGTATGGATCTATTGATTAAGGATTGGGAATTCAGAATATTTGAATTGGGGAGACCGAGAGAATGCAGATCAGCAATTTGAACTGGCCTATTTCTCTAAAGTAGAGCTGCTCCAGGGTTTTAATTAGAATATCTGGTCACCAAGGATTGCACACTCTATCAACGGCTGGGTTTGAGGATTATGGGTTTTTGGAGTTGAAACATGTTAGTTATTTAATGATGTTACCTATGGTCATATAAACATGTGCTTCAATTTGATCGTTCAAGTTGGCACATATTAGGAAGGAGCACTGAAGTTGGGTTGTTTGCATGCAAAGTGATATTTCATAACGCAAATGGCTCAGCTTATGTGTCAACATTTTTTAATGCTGAGATCAGGCAATCAGCTGCAGCTTTTGCTTCAACATAGCTTGAATTCTTGGAGGCCTATTCTAGTTGTACACATCAATCTCTATGCTTATCGGTACCATTGCGCCATCTCTTTGATGGCTTTGTGTTGTCCATTCTCATCCACTGAATGTTTGTGAAAAAGTCAAATTAGACCTTTGTCTTTGGTTCTGTTGTTCTGGATATTTTGATGAATTTGCGGTTCTTCTGTCCTCAATGTTTTATCTTGCTCTCTATGCTGTACATTATTATTCTCTAATCTTCTCTATGGCCCTGTTTTTTTTTTCTTTTTTTCTTTTCTTCTTTTTATGAACTCCATGCACTATAGGATGATCGTGAATGAATGGTATCTTCCTGCCTTTGCCACATTGGCTGTCTCGGGTGCAAGTGATTGGGTAAGAATTGCACCTTTGAAAACTGCAAAATCCATTACAATATTACTCATTTCTTCTGTTACGTTGTTGTTTGAACATAGTTGGATGGCTTTTTAGCGAGAAAGATGGGCATCAATTCTGTCTTTGGATCATATTTGGACCCTCTGGCTGACAAGGTTGAACCGACACTTTCCATTTTTGTTTCTATGTTAATTGTGCTGCTAAGCTGATGTGCAATATCTATGGTGTTGCTTAGGTTTTGATTGGCTGTGTTGCTGTAGCCATGGTTGAAAAAGATCTTTTACATTGTGAGTAGATCAGCAAGCATCAGTATGTTTGTTTTGTATTGCAAAATTTCCTTAGTAAAATATCTCATAGTTTTTGACATTATATTTGTATTTGTCTGAAGGTTCTGATTTTAATCAATATTTTAACTTGTGTGCTGCTCGTTTCACTTGAAGCTGGTCTTGTTGGCCTCGTTGTTGTAAGAGACTTGCTTCTTGTGGGTGGTGCTTTCTACAAGCGGGCTTCTAGTCTGGGATGGAAGGTACTATTATATATATGCTTTTTTGTGATTCATCAAGTGTGGAAGGTTTTCAATTAAGCTGAATGTCCTTTACGAATTTGTGCCAGTGGAACAGTTGGTCAGAATTTGTTAACTTAGATGTGATTCATCGCGAAAAGGTTGAGCCTCTGTTCATCAGCAAGGTATGCCTATGTTCACATGGCATTAAATCCTATGCTTATTGACCTATCGGGTGGAAACATGATAATAGTTGTTGATTGCAGGTGAACACAGTATTCCAGTTGATGTTGATTGCCGCTGCACTTCTTCAGCCAGAATTTGGCACAGAGGAGACTCAGAATTACATTACACTCCTGAGGTGATTTCTTTTCCATATTTCAACTGTTGTTTCTCTAGTCTTTGTCTTTATGTGCTTGCATGCGTTCTTATGTCAGAGTCGACTAATTAAACTATGAGTTTACCTGGTGTAACACAAAGGTTGACCGACCCCACATGAGCATTTGTTTGGTAAATCTGGTATCTTTACAATGCACCTACTATAGTCTGTAAATACTGCAGAATAACACTTGAAGCAACTATTTGAATGCCTAATGAAATGATGTCTATTATTTTAAATCATGGTGTTATCTCCTTTTAAACAGGCGGTGCCTAGGTGCTAGGCCGAGCTGCACCGCCTAGCACCTAGGCGTTTTGTCTAGGCTTGTTTCCGTGTAAAGGTGTCGGGCTTAATCTCTGCATGAAAATGGGACAGATTAGAGATGGAGAAAGATGAACTGTGGTCATATTATGTATGGATGCATGATAACATTAATTTTTTGTTTTGATGTGCTAGATTTTCTTTATTACTGTAGCCATCTTCAGAAAGTGCAAATGCCTAGCATCACCTAGCACTTTTTTAACATTGGGTACTATGCTAAATGACCCCCTCCCCCTGCAGTTGGCTTGTAGCTACTACGACAATCACTTCCACAATAGGTTATGGTGTGAAGTACTACCGGATCAAACCAAGGAGTCGGTGACTGTTGCTGTAGGCAGTTCATGGATTAATTTGCTGCTGCTGATGATGATGACAGACATCCAGTGACTTACTGACATGTATCAGGCATGCCACTGTGTCTCTTAAGCTTTGTGAACTTCCCAATTTGCAACTGCACAACTATAGGTCTTGTTGCCCCCTTCGCCCTCATGGATTTCCTTAATGACAAAAAAATTGGGCAAGATTGGAGAAAGAAACGAAGAACCGTCTCATGAATGTAATCGTTGCATGATTTGTGCAGTAGGCCTAGTTAAGTTGTGGATACTTTCGCCAAGTTTCGGCCTAGAGTGTTCATCCAATTATCAGAGGGCAAACTAGCCTAACCTTTGCTTTTGCTTTGGCCAAACACATTAGCTATGTTGTCAGTGTACATATGTACTTCAGAATACTTGAACTGATTTAGAAAAACTTTGGCAAATGGTGAATGCTAGGTGATGTCATGCTTCCAGATGTCTGCAGGTTAAATACATTTACAAGTATGTCCATGTATCAATGCAACTGTTTAGCTGAGCTTTTTTTTTTAACCTCCGAAATAACGGAAATGTGTTGTGTTCCACCGTATGGATTGAACGGGTATGTACTGAGATCCAACCATTCAGTTGATGTGTTGAACATAAATGCTTTGACTCTACATACCTCATTCTTTCAGGAAGAGGGAGGGAGAGAAGTCACCCGGAGTTGAATTTCCCCTCTTTTCCTAATCACTTCATTCTAGCGGGCTTAGATGCAACGTTATAATCCTGCAAGATGAAAAAGAAGTCCCAGATTGTTACAATTAAACAGTTTACTTTCCTATGTTTTGCGAACTTTAAGAAGTCCCAGATTGTTACAATTAAACAGTTCACTGCCCTACTTTGCAAACTGTAATAATATATAGGCCCTGTTCGCTTGTCTTATGAGCTATACTATTTCAGCGAACGAATGGTGTTTTTCTCTCACAACAAATTAACAAACAGTACTTTCATGCATAGCTTTTCAGCAAAGCGAACAGAGCCATAAGATGCAACATCAATTTACATGGCGGCTAGACTTAACTTGTAGGATAGAAAGTGTAGTCATGTACTTGTGATCCTTCACAATTTTTTTAGCAATTTGTTCATAGTCTCTATCTACAACTAAAAAAACCCAAATGTCATTGTTTTTGCCACATGTTTGGCTTATCTCGTATTCGGCTTCTTTTTTTTAAGTCGAAACAATATTTTCTTTTCACACTAGTTCAGCCGAAAACAGTTTTCAGCTAAAATTATGCCAGCGCAACGGAACCGCCCCGCCCGCGCGCACGACGTCCAGCTCGCCTGCGCACGAAGCCCAGCTCGTTTGCCTCCCGCCCGCATAACCGTAGCTGCAGCTCCGTCTGCTCCGTGCGCGCTCGTCGTCCCGCCGCCGCCGTCGTCTCCCTAGCAGCCGGTGGGCCGGCTCCGGTGCCGCGTCGCGCGAGCCGACCGCCGGGGTGTTCCGGCAAATCGAGCAGCGCGGCCAGGCGCGCGCACTCGATCTTCGTACACGGCACCGCCCCGCCAAGGAGGGATTCGGCGACTCCGGCACCGGCGGCATAGGCGGCGCAGGCGTCCGTGCGCGGCATCCCGGCGGCGCAGGTGGGACGTGCGCGGCCTCCAACGTCTTCCTCGGCGAGGCTCTTCCTCACCGAACCACGGCAACGGCGCGCGCCCACCTCCATCGGCCGGCGACAGTGCACGACGAGCAACAGGGAACCGCCGCCAACCTTCTCTCCACTTCGGATCTCCGCCAGGTGAGTCCCCTACTCACCTTCTGGGAACTGGGATCCCTTCTCCTGCTTGCCAACATATTGCAGCTGCACGAGGGTTGATCTGCTGCGGCGCTGCGGCCACGAGATGGTCAACTGCTGGTGTGGCGGCGTGAATGCACTTAAATTAAATTTGGCTGCGTGATGCCTTTGGTTGATTGGATTCTGCTATTCTTACCTACCTGAAATCCTCAAGGTATAATCAGTAAAGCTGCCCTGGCATATCCATTTTCTATGCACTTGCTTTTCCCAGTTTCACATTTTTTGATTGGTCATAATAACAGAGTGAGTGTTTATTGAATTCGCACTTGATTGTCTAATCATCCATTAGATGGTTTAATAGTGTTGTGAGAAATTAGTGTTGAGATGATGCTCCAATGAGCTCTGTACAACTGGATTACTCTGCGTCTGTGCGAGCCTTTCTTTTCATGTATGTACACCAACAACTAATTGTTGCTCAGGAACAGGTAAGTTAGGTCTCTTGCATATGTTGACATTGATATATACCTGTGCTGATGATACTTAAAATGTGTTGTCACATGAACATTGATATATAGTCAATGGCATTTTTGTCCTCGCCTGGGATGTTCAAACTTATTTTGATAGTTTAGCACGATTATACTTCGAATTATTTAACAATTTGAGTTATTAACACGAAACTGAAAACCCCATAGTCCAATTAAGGCCCGGCTTCCTACTATTTTCACGATATTGCTGCATAAGGATTCAAAGATAACTAGCAAATTTATCCATGAAATGCTCACTGTAGTTTTCAAAATGAGGTCTCAAACTGCTTATGAAAAGTGAATGACATTAAGCATTGGGCTTCAGAATGGCTCAATAGGACGCTTCTCCTTTGCATAATGAATATGCTAATCAGATTTCTAAAGCATCCCCTTCATGGATAGTTATAAGAAACTGGAAAGATCAATTACATGCGGATGTGATGCAGCTTGTGGCATTATGCATATATAGGGCTTGTGAGAAAACTAAAAACATTTACATAAATATGCTTGGTAATTTATTGCTAATTGCTCCCAAAACACAAGCCAGTAGACTGTAAAGTTTTTTTTTTTTGAAGGGCGGGCCTGGTGCAAGCGGTAGAGTCTTACCGCCTGTGACCGGAAGGTCCCGGGTTCGAGTCGCGGTCTCCTCGTATTGCACAAGCGAGGGTAAGGCTAGCCACTAACACCCTTCCCCAGACCCCGCACAGAACGGGAGCTCTCTGCACTGGGTACGCCCCTTTTTTTTTTGCATTTTGAACTCCCTGCATGAAGTTGCAGCATATGGATAAAAAAAAAGCTTGTTTGCCAGCTTATGAACTCAGAGTAGCTGGTACAATCTAAAGAGAAGATGCTTAATGCATGTTTCTGAACAAAAAAACTACAAGTTTTTTTGAATTAAAGAAGCTGAATATATAGGAGCAACCTTAGTGAGTCACTTTTAAATTAGCATTCTGATAACTAACTAGGTGTCAGATCCCAATTTTTATTTAAACCATTGATATTGTTTCATGATAGCACATAGGAAAACTGAAAGTGCAATGCACTAGCAATCCTGTTTCTGAATCAAAACATTTCTATTTCTCTGCAGCTGTTGTGAGAACTAAAATAAGCATATAATCTGTTTACTGTATGTATGATTACACATTAGACTAAATTCAGTGTATACTGTATCTATGGTCTATGCTCATATGCTGCTGTGTTTTTTTTTTGCAATATAAGTTAAGCCACTAACATTCTGATTTTTTTCCATATATAGGAAAGCTTAAGTTTATGTCTATAAGGGCATTCATTAAAATTAACAACCAAGTACATGGGTGAGATACAGTTGAGAGAAAGTACATTTGTTAGCACCTCCAGAATTGGGTAGCTGAGAAAATGATTTAGTTCAGTACAAGAGAAAATGGCTGTTGGAGGACTAGGGTCTTGCCTAGCCAAATTAGCCGATCTGTGCTAGACCATTGCACTACCTGTTGATCTTGCTGAACTTGTACTAAGTGTTGTCAAATCTTCTCTTTAGGCTTGACCCTCCATGGGAGTCCTCTTTTTTTTTCCCCCGAAAGATCGATTGGGAGGCCTCTCAAGGATCTGTAATGACTTGTGGCATCTCAATATCATTGTGTCACTAAGAGGCCTTTATGATGCTGTCAGGAATTTGCACTCTCTCAGAAGTACCACAAGGAACTCCTCAAGTTGCAACAGAAAGACTGCACAGAAGCTCAAGAACTTCTCGAGGATGTATTGACGGACCAATAAATATAAAACATTTAGACAATTTCACTTTCAACAGGTTGATAATTTCACACCAGATTTAACTCCCTTCTATTTGTTTACATTTAGCTTCCTACAGGCACAATGAAAAATAGCTTGCTCCAACTGCTGTGCTTGAGATCTGAGAACACATAAATAAATCTTATCATCTAATTCCTTTTAGTGAAACAAATGGATTTGCAAATGTTGGCTGCACACCAAGTACTTGAGAAAAAAGCTATGAATTAAATGGCACATGGAACATCACTACATCTCTACATCAAAGCCTTCTATTTACATGATCACATC